TCTGTAATATCTTCAAAAATATCCATTTAAATTACATACTGTAAAGGGCCATATTGATCTATATTAAATGCACAATGTATTTAAAAGTACTTAACTGTATAAGGATTAATGCTGTATTACTTAAAATCGCTTAGTAAATAAGCTATTATTTCTCGTAAAAAGTAAAGGATAAAAAATGGTTATTGTGGGTTAACCTTAAGAAATAGACATATATCATCGGGGACTTTTTTGTAGACCTTTTAAGGTGTACAACACTGTAGTATATTACTTTGATCTATCTCGTAGGGTTCAGCCAGCGTTTGCAGCGCAAAAAATGTGTTTATTTATATCACATTACAAACCTCTAAAATTATCAGCGTTTCTCTACTATATTATGCATGTATTATACATATAAACCTTCGTCTTGAGTTACTCTATCTATTAAAAAAAACCGCATTAAAATCCGTTGCGTAGTTTTAAAAATCTAAGCATACATAGGGACAGACAGCGGGGGAAATGCGTTGCATGATTTCGTTACATAGCGACTCTCATGAAACGAACTTGCCCTACCGTGCGTAAAGAAGTTTCACTTCAAAAGAAAAACCCTTGCATCCACATCAAATAATGTTTCTTATAATGCAACTTTAAATACATTATTTCTGTCGACAGGACAAGGTTTTACATAATCACATATACTATTGGTGAATTTCAAGTCTATATTTGATTTTATTTAAGTTAGAAGTTAACTTTTAGAACAGGGTTTCTAAGGATTCAAAGGAATCTTGAAAACAACAGAATTTTACTACGATAATAAAATTTTTAATTCATGACAGCAAAACAAAATTATGATGACAGATTGAGTACCAAACATCTCCTAAATAAAACAGAACTTCTCTTTCTCTCAATCGCTGCTGCAATTCGCGAGATTATTACCACCGACACGGCGCGTACTTAATTCGCTAGGATAAGAAAGAACCGGCTTGCGAAAATGACTCGGCTGATGATAATGACGATGACGATCCGATGGGCGATGTTAATCGGAGGTATTCTTGGAATTTCCGTCAAGATTACCGGAAATACTGTATAGTAGAACATGCAACGGATGCAGGACTTTTTACTCATGCAGAAACACACGCTCGTCGTTGCACCGAACAACGTTAAGGAATATTCATCGATAATCTTCCAATATAATACGTAGTAGACGCTCGATAAAGTAAATTTCGCATAACGGAAACCCGCATATTAATTAATCTAAACCGCCATGTACCGAGCACAAACCAAACCCATGTCCATTGGTCTTAAAAATTGCTGTTGCGCCATTTCTGTAAATCCCCGATGTAATTGGTACTTCCCCAGTCATATTATAAGATACAGAGATGCTATTTTATTCGTACATTAAATTAATTATTGTTTAGGATAAGAAAGAACAGGCTTAAATAAAATAAAAAGAAGTCACTTCTATGCTCGCGAAATTTAGAAATTCGAAAAAGGTTGTTAAAGGTTTAATGTTTGGAGCACGGCGCTGTACAGGTGCGAAATATAGACAGTGGGCGTGGCGGAAAAGAAAAGGTTAGAAGCGTTCGAAATGTGGTGTTATAAGCGAACGATGAGGACACCGTGGATAGAGAAGGATAAAAATGAAGAGATATTAGAAAGAAACAGAGGACTCTATGGAAGTCAATAAAAAATGGGCGAGATAGGTTGGTAGGACACCTTCTCAGGCATGAAGGTCTAGTCAGAGACATATTAGAGGCAGAAACAGGAGTTAGGAGGGGTAGAGGTAGACCTAGATTAGATTACTGTTCGCAAATAGTTAAGGTGTGGGCTGTTCTAGTTTTAGGGAAATGCGAAGATTAGTTCAAGATAGGAAAGAGTGGAAGTGTGTGTCCAGCCAGTCTTGGGACTGACAACCTTATGATGATGATTTATTCGCTTAGTACAAATCCTAAGTGGCAAAAGAAAGTGGCTACATGAAAGGTGTAAAGAGACTAAAAAGATCTTAACAGACTTGAAGATAATTTTCATCTGCCTAAAAAAAGTCAAGAAAATAGCTGGGTTGTACAATAATAAACCACTAAATTTTATTAAATTTTTAAATTGAGCACAATGGAATAGTCACAGGTGGAAAGGAATTTTTGCAAATCTGGAGAAAATATACAATTAGACTTTTCAACGACGAAAGACCAGAAAATGCCTCAACAGAAACATCCACTCTATCAGGACCAAGCATATTAAAAAGTGAAATCGCACACGCCATCAATTTAATGAGAAATAACAAAGCTCCAGAGGTCCTACTGATATGTACTCGAAAACGTTTTACTTAATTAACGAATAAAATCTTGAAAAGGTCGTAAGACTTCAATAAATTTCCCTGAGGATTGGCTCCACTCCACGTTTATCACAATGCCTAAATCGAACAACGCAACCTCATGCAAAGATTATCGTCTCATCAGTTTAATGAGCCACTTTCTAAAACTTTTTCTTCAAGTTCTTCACACAAGGCTTTATAAAAAAATGTGAAGAAGTGAGTGGATTCAATCAATTCGGGTTTAAGAGCAGATTTGGAACCAGAAAAGCAATATTGAGCCTCCAAACATTAGTCCAGAACTGCCAAGATCAAAGAGAAGATGTCTATATATGTTTCATTGACTACGAGAAGGCAACGTTAAACACAATCTTCTGAAAACATATCTTAAGAACTGACTAAATAATAAAGATTATCAATGCCTTAAAGTAAACCAATTCCGCATTTTTTCAAAAACTCCAGCCTGGAACTATTATTTTTTTGGGAACCTATTTACAATTATTTATACCTAACGGCTAATAAATCTTTGAGAAATTATTTGGGTAATAGATAGGAAAGAGTGGAGGTGCGTGTCCAACCAGTCTTAGGACAGACGACCTAATGATGATGATGAGATACCCAACTTTTTACCATTTATTAAATTTTTTAAAATTTCCACAAAACTGATAAAGTTCCGTTTCCTAACAGCCAGAAAGACGAAATTAATTTCCGAGTCTTCCAGATATGCCGGACCCTTAAATGTTTCAAAATTAAAAATATTTATGAATATTTGGGTACATTTTGTGCATGCGTGAAAGCTGGGAGCAGTTTGCTCTCTGTCCAGAATTAAACTTTTTGAAAGCACGGTTTGCAGTGACAAACGCGCTGTGCGGTTATAAAAACGAATAATTTATTGGCAAAATAAAAAGTTGAAAAATAAGTCGAGAGTGCTTGAACCGCTTTAGGTGGCCGGGGGCCTTCGTTATACCCAGAGCCGACAAAGGAACAAGTGTCTGCGCTCGGGGCATATGAGAGAAAGTTACAAGATTGTTATTCGATCGGCCCCAATACGTACCTACACTTATTCCTTCATCCGTTGCTACTTTTGACTTATAACTGGCCTTTACCTTTTCCGAAGTATCAGAATCTTTAATTAAAAATCTCCAATTTTGACGCATTCAAGTGGTAGAAAACAATTGGAAAAAAGTGGCCGCGCCTAAATTTTTACATTCAGGTGTATACTTTGTTGCATACATTCTAATAAAAAATGATAAACATTAAATATTAGTTTGATGCGTGGCATATAGATGATACATACATTAAACAATACATTTTACCTGCGTTTTCACTCGCAATGATTTCCTAAATACAAGCCAAAGATTAATTTATTAAGCAGTTTAGAAGATATTAAACAAAAACAAGCGTTTTAGCTTGCAATCAAATCTCAAGTATCTATCTCCGCTAATAGTACAGCAATATTTATTTATAAGCGAAGGAACGCTCCTACTTTCGATATCCAGGATCAGAATTATCAATTAAAAATCGCTAATTTTGGCGTATTCAAATTGCAACACATAAAATGAATTAAACCTACATTAATTTATTAAGTAACATAATCATTGTTGCTCTTCAGAACAATTGCTTATTTTCATAGATTCACCCTGTATACATAACACTTAGAAGTATAATTTAATACGTATTAGCAGACGATTAATTTCACCAATTCTCTTATTCATCGGCTCCAAAATTCAACAAAAAAAATCGTATCAAGTTACCTATTTATCTCAAAACTGCATCTGCTTGAGAAGAGAACTTTTTCTTTTACCGCAATTATTTAACATAGATAAAATGAAGAATGATGATGACGTCTCACAATTCATAAGCAGAACTGTTTCAAAGTTATATATGTAGGTATGCATATTTTTTATCTTTTTTTTGTATACCGTCCAAATGGGTACCTACATCAAAATAATTGGCTCATGTATCAAAATAGCGATTTCGCCGCCTACGGAGAAGAATTTGTTTCTATATCACAAATGTCAGGCTTGACTTTTTGTAGCAAAAAAATGTGAAGGGTATGATAATTAGTAGGTAGGAACGAATATTTTACTTGGGACCAGATAAATAAGATAAGTAATATGTATACGCAATTTTTTGTATAATTCGGAATATTATATATAAAAGAAATTATGATTATTATCTATTAAAAACCATAATGGCCGACATCAATAACAATGCGACAACAATTGAAAAAGAATGATGGCCGACAACAGCAACAATTAGAAAAGAATGATGGCCGACAACAGCAACAATTAGAAAAGAATGATGGCCGACAACAGCAACAATTAGAAAAGAATGATGGCCGACAACAGCAACAATTAGAAAAGAATG